CTTGTCCTGCTATTATCAGGAGGGGCATAAGATTCTTATCTAAGTAGGTTAAAAGATCATTGGGTCCAAACCTGATTTTCTGAGAACATAAGGGTCCCTTCTAGTTCAGGGGTCTTCAGACTTGGCCCTTTTATGACTTGTGGACTTCAACTCCCAGAATTCCTTAGCCAGTGTGCCTGGCTGAGGAATTCTGGGAGTTGAAGTCCACAAGTCATAAAAGGGCCAAGTTTGAAGACCCCTGTTCTAGTTGATCAAAGAAACTGAGACAATCCTTTTTTCCAATTCCTTTTTCCTTCCAAATACCAGCATTATCTGGTTCCCAAGAATTATTATTTAAGAGTGTAGCTACAAGAACAGAAAGAAATGAAAATTGCCTACTTCCAGTATAAAATTAGGGATTAAGAGTTTCACCATGTTCTGTGTATCAGAAAGATCAGTATCTATTGAATATATCATATTATTTGTTCAAAGGTACAGTTATACAAAAATAACCATAATCATTGCCCAAAGGCTTTTGACAGCAGCAGAAATGTTATTTCCGGACATCTAATTAGTATAAGTGATGGTGTTTTAGTCATAACAGAACAAAAGTTATGCATTTTGTTTTTTGAAAGCTTGAAATACAGGGATACAGAGATGCAGAGTTCATCCTGTATATTCTTACCTGGAAGACGTTGTAATAAATAGTACTATAATGTGCCCAGAACATATTCAGCAGAGGTTAACGGTTTTAAAAATCTTTGAATTTTTTTTTATCCATACATACTATTATTAGGATTGTGGAATGAAAAATTAGCAGTTGAACTTCCTTGTAATACATGTGTGCCTATTGTTTCAGGTGGCTTTAAGGCTCTTGGAGAGGGAGGTTTTGGATAAGAGTGATATGGTTGAAATGCTTGGCCCCCGACCTTTTGCTGAAAAATCTACCTATGAAGAATTTGTTGAAGGCACGGGCAGCTTAGATGAAGATACTTCACTTCCAGAAGGCCTTAAAGACTGGAACAAAGAGCGTGAGGAGAAAGAAGAGGCAACAGATGAGGGAATTGCCAGACAAATCAGAGGACATGTACCTTTTTAGTGTTGCAGTATGATGGTGTACATAAAAGTGACACAGTGTTAAGTTGCACACTGAAAAGTAAAGGGGAAACACTTCAAAAATCTGGTGCCCAAGTATCCTCTGCTTTATGGAACAAGCCTGCCATGGCTGATGAACTAGGAGGATGGGTATTTCCCTCTACAGAGTATTCAGAATCCACAGGAAGCTGTTTCCCAGAATCCCTGATTAAAAAGTATAGTTCTTAGAACTAATGGGCCTACATTGAATTTCTTCTAGAGTTGCAGCAATTCAGATCTGTTATTAGAGTTGTGTAAACTGATATATTTAAACTGCCCTAGAATGTACAATTTCCCAAAACACCGGAAAAAAAATCTATTTTTTCATCACTTCTACCAAATTTGAGTTGTTAATATCCTGAAATTGTTGGTTTTGGTCATAGAGTATTTCCTGGGATCCCACATTGCTTATCATATGTTTGTTTTGATGAAGCACATAGTTTTCAACCACCAATTTGAATTTATTTCTTTACCTTGTTGTCCAGTAAAAAGACCCTGCAGGTATCCGTGATCAAACTGGAAACCTGGCAATTCATTAGAGAGATGGGTCTGTGGCTACAATGAAGTGTAAAATCTAAATTATATTACTGCAATTTTAATAAAGTGTGGATTTTTTTCTACATGAGATTGTAAAATATTGAGCATACGAATGTATTTTGTAAATACAGTTTAGAAACATTAAATAAAATCAGCACAGTGGACTGTGCAAACAGGCAGATTCTCTTGGATCCTTGGGCCAGTAATGAAACCATACAACCAGTTGTTAGATTTCTAATAACTACAAACATGAAAGATTACATGGTAGCTTTTTGAAGGAGACTAGGGGTCCCATAGACACGTTGATAAAGTGTGGCAATCAAATGAGAAAAATCAGAATTCACCGTGTACCATCTAGTAAACTAACATGAACAATAACATCAAGTAGTCTGCTCCATACTGTTATTTAAAGTCATCATACACACACACACACACACACACGATACTGATCTTCCTGTTCAGAACCAGAGATAGATAGCACAAGAAAGGATGGATGGACCATTCGTTATTAGCAAAGGGCATACAAGAAAAAGAGTAAGCTGGAGTTCCTATTATAAATTAGTAATTAGATAAGAATAGAATGCAAATTGAACAGCTGATAATGAAAAAAAATGGGGATCTCTGCTAAGAAAGGTCATTTAACTTGCTTATAAATTACCTGGTATTAAGCAAGAAGCAGGTATGAGTGCTACTGCTGCAAAAGTATCTAGGTCAGTAAAAAGAGAAGGGAACGGAAGCATGTTCCCAAAACATCAAACTAAACAGCAACAAACAGTAGGTAATAGAAGCAAAGGAAGAACATTGGGGCAAAATCTGTAGCTTCACAGTACGTTATGAACTTCCTGTGACAAAGCAAGGATAGAAAGATTGTGGAAAATAGACCCACGAAAAATCCAGCCCACTTTGTGGCTGTACTAAAAAAAAGTTTCACGTTGGAGCCTGTTAAAGAAGATATTAAAAATTCAATCACTAATGGCACATTATCTGGATTGTGATGAGAGCTAGCACAAGCAGCAAGGCTTGAAAAGGCTAGATAGCTAATAAAAGCTATGAGAGAAACCCAGTCTTCATCCTATGAATCATTAGGTTTCTATAGTACAGTGGTGGCGAACCTATGGCACGCGTGCCGGAGGCGGCACTCAGAACCCTCTGTGGGCACGCACGCCACCGCTGCCAGCAGCTTGCGCAGGTCCATTAGGCTGCTGCCGCCACTCAGAGCAACCCCACCAGGCACAAAGGCAAAGCGGCCAGCTAGCAAGATCGGGTAGAGGTGGTAGAGCACGCCCACACCCAGCAAGCCAAAGACCACCCCGAGCAAGGAAAGCCAGATCCCCATTGGCGCCATAACCCCAGTCCCAGCTAGGATTGCGTGCCTCCTGTCCACCGCCCCACCCACCAGAGACCCCCTGGATCTCCCCCAACCCTGCCTGACCCCTGCAGGCATCCCCTCCATGAGCAACATCGAGGTGGCCATGCCCATCCCAGCCATGCCCACCCAGTCTGCCGTGACAACCGCAGCCATGCCCACCCAGTGGGCCACACCCCCATGCCCCCTGAGGCCCCACAATGCTGATGCGGCCCTGGCACTTTGCGATAAATAAGTGGGTTTTAGGTTGCGGTTTGGGCACTCAGTCTCTAAAAGGTTCGCCATCACTGCTATAGTAGCTATTTCATATGCACACACTTGGAGATACTTCTTTGCAGCTAGGAATGGGAGTTCAGTTGGAAAGTGCTTTGTTTCACTTGATGCTGGTTAAATGTCATACTGTCTAATCCAAAATGTCCAAAGTCAGCATAGGTCAGGCATAGCATTGAGGAAAATCTAATGTGGCAGCTAGTGAAGTAGACTGGAATTCTTATGGAATGTGCTGACATCTAGTCAGACATGTCTGGTCCGTCCACATGATGGGGATTACCCAAGAGAATAACTGGTGCCCTGGTTGCTAGCACTACAAATAGGTAGGTGGAGCTAAAGGCAAAGTTGCTGGAGCCAGAAAGAGAACATGGGAATTAATTTACATTTTAATGTAACAAAATTACATTTACTGTAGTTACACCATCTGGGATGTTTCTAATGCTTTCTATCACATGTAAAGTGGAAAATTAGTAACAATGTTTGGAAGAATTCTGGGAACTAAGTAGGTACATGTGGATCTGCAGCCTTAGAATATGCTTCCTTTGTATCATGAAATTTAAAGCTTCAGCTTCCAAAAGAATCATCCACTTCCTCAGAGGTTACTTTTAACAATTCCAAAACACCGGTGTTGAAGCATTAATTTATAAATATGGAATATACATAAGGCTAAATTATATTTTAAAATTATTTTTAATTAATGGAGTTTGTTCCCAACAAATCAATACATGGTAAAAGAGAACAAAGACATAATAACACTGCAATTCTGAAACACATTTACTTGGATAAAAAATTCCATTTAGAATAAGGAGTATTTACTTTCAAGTAACCATGCATAGGATTGCGGTGTAAATTGTCTCAGTTCGGTATGGGAAGAATATGTATTATTTCTTAAAAGCTGGATTTCTTTCAGGAAGCTGGATACAATTACTTATTTCAGTATAACTTTTATGTGCACTAACACCAAATCAAAAGACGTGCACTCATAAGCCTATTATATAACTGGGTTAGCTATGTAATTTATAAACAAGACTTAATAGGTTTATGACTACTTTTAAATGGGCAAGACTCGAATTTTACTGTTTCAAAATAGATTCAGCCAACCTAGTGAATATGGGAGAGATAATGTTCATTCTGTAGAATTTGGGCCTGATTTTTATTTTATTTATTTTTTGTGTTAAAGTCTTGGCTCTCACAGCCCCATTGAGCAAATCAATAAATCGGGACGTCTTAGCTTTATCTTTGATGCAAAGCATTAACGATCCATTCTAAAGAAAATGGCTAAATCAGTGGTTCTCAACCTTTTTAATGCCGCGACCCCCAACCGGTCGTAAGTCGAGAACTAAACCGGCCGTAAGTCGAGGACTACCCAACCGGTCGTAAGTCGAGGACTTTCCCTGCCCGGGAGCGCCGCGCATGCGTGGTTCCGCCCCCTGCGCCGGCCGAGGCGTAGCTGGCAAGCAGCAGAGACAGAGCAGGCCGACCACCAGCTGGCCCAGCCCAAGGGAGGTAAGGCACCCGCCGGAAAAGGGGGGAAGAAATGGCGGACAGCCTTGCTTGGCGACCCCCGTGAAATGGTCGATCGACCCCAAATGGGGTCGCGACCCATAGGTTGAGAACCGCTGGGCTAAATTAATCCTCTGAAAAGTAAGCTCTATGATAGTCTTAATGTTATGCAAATGGTTAGCACTAAAGCAAACACTTCAGACTTGAGAATTGTATTAACTTTATTCATTAACTTCTTCCTCATCATCTTCAAAAGCTTCCTCTTCTTCGTTTGCTGTTGCTTCTTGGTACTGTTGGTACTCAGAAACGAGATCGTTCATGTTGCTTTCTGCTTCGGTAAATTCCATCTCATCCATGCCTTCACCAGTAAACCAGTGAAGAAAAGCCTTCCTCCTAAACATGGCAGAGAACTGCTCTGAAATTCTTTTGAAGATCTCTTGAATGGCAGTGCTGTTTCCGATAAAGGTAGAGGCCATCTTGAGGCCACGAGGTGCTATATCGCAAACAGCCACTTTGACATTATTTGGGATCCATTCTACAAAGTAGCTACTGTTCTTGTTCTGGATGGCGAGCATCTGTTCATCAACTTCTTTCATGGACATGGGACCTCGGAAGACTGTGGCCACTGTCAGGTATCGTCCATGTCTTGGATCACAGGCTGCCATCATGTTTTTGGCATCAAACATTTGCTGAGTGAGCTCTGGGACTGTAAGAGCTTGGTACTGCTGGCTGCCTCGGGCAGTCAGAGGAGCAAATCCAGGCATAAAGAAGTGCAAGCGTGGGAATGGAACCATATTTACTGCCAACTTGCGTAAATCTGCATTTAGTTGGCCAGGAAAACGCAGCGATGTTGTGACCCCACTCATTGTACAAGACACCAAATGGTTGAGATCTCCATATGTTGGCGTGGTAAGCTTCAAAGTACGGAAGCAAATATCATACAGCGCTTCATTATCAATACAGTAGGTTTCATCTGTATTTTCAACCAGCTGATGGACTGAGAGAGTGGCATTATATGGTTCTACCACAGTGTCAGACACTTTGGGAGATGGCATGACACTAAATGTATTCATTATCCTATCAGGATATTCCTCTCGAATTTTGCTGATGAGAAGTGTTCCCATCCCAGAACCTGTTCCTCCTCCAAGAGAATGAGTGAGCTGAAATCCTTGCAAACAATCACAGTGTTCACATTCTTTTCTCACAATATCGAGCACTGAATCTACAAGTTCTGCTCCTTCAGTATAATGTCCTTTGGCCCAGTTATTTCCAGCACCCGTTTGTCCTGAAAAGGAAAAAAGGTCAGATTTACCGAGTCGTGAAATAGACTCAAAATATCTGTAGTGATGAACCTTCATCATTCCAAAATCTATATAAATTTAAACATTTTCAAGCGTTGGCATATATTGGGAACTCTAGCTGCCAAGCAATAGCCAAAACATTCTTAGAAATGCTTCATATAATTTTACATTCATGTACATTGTGGTATGCTGACACTACAACACAGGAATTTTATTCACACCCATTAACGCCAAGATGGATAGGTTTGCCAGTTCTCATGTTTTTTGTCTTTTACTAAAAATTCAAGATTCATCAGCCAGTGCTATAGAAAAATGCATTGGCTACCTGTATGAAGTTTTGTTACATTTGGAATTAACGTGAAACGAGAGGAACCCGCCAAAGGTGCAAGGATACATAAGCATTGTCTAATGCATGCATTAAATGCATTGTCCTTGGGAAGTTTTCTTTTTGTAACAGAATATCGTCAACATACCAAAGATAAAATTATCAGGCCGAAAGAGTTGTCCAAAAGGACCAGATCGAACACTATCCATGGTTCCAGGTTCCAAGTCCACCAAAATTGCTCTGGGTACATAGGTTTGGGCTAAAAGAAATAATATGTACATTAAATTAAAACTGAATACCGATCTATCCACATGAATTTCTGAATATTTACTACACCATCTAATTTTTATTTGATCTAAAAAAGAGGGACCAATTTACTTACCGTTCTTTGGAAAAATGTCTTGTTGTCCTTCACAACTATTGCAATCTTAACCAAGGCTTTTGCTTAAGCTCAGCCAACATACATATGCCATCCCACTTTGAAAATCTGTAAAGCTCACTCCCACATTCATCCTTTAGGTGCCATGTCAAGTGAGCCTTTATGGATATAAATGCCAAGCTGGTGCCATTTTTAAAACCAGAATTTCAAGTCCTAAACACCCTTACAGTCCCCATTACCAAGAGTGAGATTCTTGGTTTCAGCTCATCAAGGTGTTTCCCACATACTATTACAACTATTGCATTCATCTTTTGGCTTCCCAAAGGCATGTCCTCGGCCATTTTTGGATCAGAATGATAGCTCTGTTGTTAGCCTCAGGTTATTATGTTACGCTAGTACAACTACCATCATCGGTTATAAACACGGCCCACAGCGATTACTTACTTTTGTTTACCTATCATGCTATCAGTTAAAGCAAGGATAGGCAAATGGAACTTGTGTACTACATTAATAGAAATGGAAGTTAATGGGAAGCTTCATTCAGCCAGAAATGTCAGGAGCCATGGGGAAGGGGGGTGGGTGGAGAAACAGGAGAATGGACTACTACCTCATCTGAAATTAATCCAGGACAAAGCTTAACATGCTCACACTTGTAAAGAATGGCAGGATTTCATGCTTTTGGACTGGGACAATAGCTCAAAACATTAGGGCTTGATATTAGTAAATCACTGCTTAGTTGCTGAGGTTTTGCAAACTTCACACATGATTTTTCTCTAATCAAATAAATTGCTATGGGGCAACTCTTCTATCCCCCAAATGCTGTAGGAGGCAAAAGATAGTATGTCAGAAGCTGGATACACATATCGTAAATATGTATGCACCCATCCAACAAACTCACAAATGCTCTCTCACTTAGTGAAAGAGGAACTGTAATTTCCCCTTCCTGAGAACTGAGTGCTCATTAAGTAATTTCCCCATTTAAGTCAAGGACAGATGATTGGTATAACTCTTGGCAACCAGCTCCTTCCAGCCAATACATGCTGCTTCTGCTTCTTCTTCCTCAGGCTTGCACTCAACCCTTGCACTCAGCCACAGTTAAAAAGTGGCCTAAATGTGGCAGGAGAAAAATTTGAGGCAACAGTATCAGCAGCTATTTGTCCAACTATGTGACCACAAAGAATGTCTCTTAGGGTCAAATCCTTAAAGTTCAAGGATTGGTAAAAGTAAATGCAAATAAGCAGATTTTTCACTACAAACGAAGAACATTCTTAAAAGTAAGAATGACTCAACAATGTAAAGCAGACATGTCAAACACAAGGCCCGGGGGCCGGATGCGGCCCATGGTTTCATGTGGCCTGCAAAGCCATCCTAGAAACAGTGAGGGAATGGCCCCCACTGCCTTGGCCCTGGCCCACGCCGGCCGGGAGCCAATGTACAATTTTGTGGTGGCCATCTATGCTGAAACACATTCAGTCTTAGCTCCACAAGGCTGTCTGGAAACAGCAAGGAATCAGCCCCTGCCGCGTCGGCCCCGCCCCCTGGGGGCATGCTGGGGAGGTGTCACCCTTTGTGAGGAATGAAGAAATGCACCATGGCCTGGAAGTGGCCAGCAAATGGCCCTCGCCTACTTCACCTATCCGGTTTGATGGGCTCCGGGGAAGAGGTTTCGGCAGGCAGTGGGGCGCTCTCCTCACAGTGCCAAGAGGCTAAGCCGGGTGGTGCGAATCCAAAAAGAAGTGTGAGGCCGCCCAGCCCCCAGCCTGCCCAGTTTTGGCAGGCAGCTTTCAGCAGGCAGCAAGGTGCAAAGCTGACGAGCTTCGCATCGCCCGGCTCAACCTCTCGGCATTGTGAGGAGAGCGCCCCGCTGCCTGCCAAAACCGGGCAGGCTGGGGGCTGGGCGGCATCGCGCTTGTAATTGGATTTGCATCGCCCGGTTCAGCCTCTTGGCACTGTGAGGAAAGCACCCCGCTGCCTGCTGAGACCAGGCAGGCTGAGGGCTGGCTGGCATTGCACAGGTAATGTTGACTCTCATGCTGCTCATGGCATCCCCTCTCCCAGAGCCCACCAAGCCAGATATGTGAAGTAGGTGAGGGCCATGTGCTAGCTACTTCCAGGCAATAGTGCATTTCTTCATTCCTCATGAAGGGTAACACACACCCCCCAGCTGCGTTTCTTGCCTGTTTTTCTCCCTCCCTCATCTCAAATATTTTCCCACCACTCTGTACTTAGGAAGGAAGGAAGGAAAGAAGGAAAAAAGGAGGGATGGTCTGAGGGAACTCCTGTCTTAGTCCTGCCCTGCTGCCCTTTCACCATCCCCTTGCCTCTTCCTCCTGGCCTATCCTGGGGGTCTCCCATCTTATTGCTAAGGAAGCTTTGGATACAAAGCCAGGTCTACTCCCATGGAGAGGGAATGGGCCTCCCTCTGACTTTGCCCTCGTACCCATCATGAGTAACCTGGCTAAAGAGAGCAATCACAGCAGCAGCCTTGAGGAGGAGATAAGTGCAGCTGGGTGTCCCCTTTGGAGAGTGGGGCTGGGCTTGGTGCCGCAGGTGCTCGAGGGCCAGTCTGGGCGTTTGACCTCTGCTGCTCAGGGCTCTGGGCAGCCCGCACCACCATCCAGCCCCCCCCACATGGCCTGAGAGGAACAGTGAGGCTCCTCCAGTGGACCATGCCTTGGCACTTGCCCTGGTCCCAACCCCTTCTGCCAGAGACCCTCAGATCTGTCCCACTCCTGCCCAGGCCCCCACAGGCACCCTTGACGCGAATGATGTAGAGCTGGCCATGGCCACCCACCAAGCCACACCCACTCCATCCACGCCCACCCAGTAGGCCGCACCCATCCTGGCCACACCCACCTCCCCCCCCCAAGGGCAACCGCAATGCTGATGCGGCCCTCAATGAAATTGAGTTTGACACCCCTGATGTAAAGGAACATTGTAAGTGGTAGATGTGCTTTTTACATTGGGAATTATGGTGAAATCTGACATCTCTGACAGGCACCTGTTTGGGGCGACTATCTCATTGAGACCCAAAGCAAAGTACGTATTATTAAAATTGTAATGTATTTTGTCTTGTGGTTTCATTTCTGTCTCCCCCAGTAACCCTATTTCAGCAGGATGCAGTATGTATTTTTGAAATTTATATATGTATGTTATACTTATGAATTAAAAGGCCTAAAACACATGGGCAACGGTGCTCAAGAGACAAAAAAATGCAATTTTGCAACCGGTTATAAATAACATGCTCTATCTCACTTTCGGTTCTGAAGTGGTATAACTAAAATCACAGTTCACTCCCGATCAAGCCACACCTTAAATCAGTGTTTCTCAACCTTGACAATTTTAAGGCATGTGGACTTCAACTCCCAGAATTCCACAGCCAGCATTGCTGGCTGTGGAATTCTGGGAGTTGAAGTCCACATGCCTTAAAATTGTCAAGGTTGAGAAACACTGCCTTAAATGCTGCTCCCTGTTACTATTATAGATAGTATGCTAATTAAGGCAGATTTCTTTGCTAGAGTTTTTTATTTTATTTTTTTTTTTACAAAACAGCCAGCTTGGTAATAACTTTATGCTAAAGTTCACAGAGCTGCTTCTAAAACACGAAGGCATCTTGGGACGTTTCCAGAATTTCCCGGCATGCTTGGGAATTCTGGGAACGGACAGCCTAAAGCCAGGGGGATGTGCTGGTGTCGGGGGGGGGGCATTTTTCTAAAGCAGTGGTTCTCAACCCCATTTGGGGTCGATCGACCATTTCACGGGGGTCGCCAAGCAAGGCTGTCCGCCATTTTTTTCCCCTTTTCCGGCGGGTGCCTTACCTCCCTTGGGCTAGGCCAGCTGGTGGTCGGCCTGCTCCGTCTCTGCCGCTTGCCAGCTACGCCTCGGCCGGCGCCGGGGGGAAGAACCACGCATGCGCAGCGCTCCCGGGCAGGGAAAGTCCTCGACTTACGACTGGTTTAGTCCTCGACTTACGACCGGTTGGGGTCGTGGCATTAAAAAGGTTGAGAACCACTGTTCTAAAGGAAACACGCGAGCAACCTCGTTGCTTCCTTCCCATTTTCTGCCCCCCCCCCAAATAAAGAGATCGCTTGGAGGCCCGAAACTCCTCACAACAACTCACAGGATGATTCGTTGTAGTAGACGCTGATCCTCTCCAGCTGCAAAGCTGAGTCACCAACGTAGCCTCCGGCTGGGTCAATCCCGTGCTCATCGCTGATCACTTCCCAAAACTGCGAGGAGCAGAAAGGACAAGGGACGGCGCTTAGGGGCGGCGCTGTTCGCCCGCAGCCCGCAGGGGCCCGTGGCGCAGCCGCCGCCTGCCTGCCTGCCTGCCTGCCTGCCTGTCTCCCACCCACCGCGGCCGGGGCAGAGGCGGCCTGGGAAGGCATGCGTCGGATCGAGCAGCTGCTGAATGCCGGGCGTGCTTGAGAGCGGCCTCCGGCCGGCCCCTCCCTGGAAAACCTGTGTGTGGGGGGGAGGGGGAGGGACAGGAACCGAGGAATTGCAAAGGAAAAGAAATCGGTTTCGAATTCTCAGCCCGCTTCCAGACTCGAACCCGCTCCTCCTTCCCCCCCCCCCCGCCGCAGCCTCAGCATTTTTTTTCCCCGGGTTCAATTTTTTTCCGAAGCCTTTTATGGTCAACGCGCAAGGAGCGGCTATTGAGGTTCCCGTTTTGGTGGTTTCTTTCTTTCTTTTCCAGCGCTCGGCGCCCAGCAGGCGCGTGGGCAAGTTGCAAGGATTTTCTCCCTCCTCCACCCACCCACCCCCGCCCCCCCAGCGAAGCGAAACTCGCAGGGAGGAATTTTGCTCATCCCTTTTTTTTGGGGGGGGGGTATTAAAGACGAAGGAAACGGGCGGCTTCTCCTCGGAGATCCCCCGTCCAGGTGGAAGGGAGCGAGACGAGAGGGCGCGGTCGCCTTGAAGGGAAAGAGCTTGGACCTCGCCCACGCGCGTCCAGGACCACCCGAGCGGCTGCCGGAGCTATTTCGTCCGCGACTTATAATTAATTGATCGGTTGGCCTTATAACGCCGTGTTTCTCAACCTTGACAATTTTAAGGCATGTGGACTTCAACTCCCAGAATTCCACAGCCAGCAAAGCTGGCTGTGGAATTCTGGGAGTTGAAGTCCACATGCCTTAAAATTGTCAAGGTTGAGAAACACTGTATATAATGCGACATAATTCCCCACCACACCACCGCCATACCTTGGTTCCAATTTGGTTTCCACACTGACCGGCCTGGATGTGCACGATCTCCCTCATGGCGACGGTGGTTTTTCTGCGGCCGCTGCGTTCGGCTTCCCCTTTTCCTCCCGTATTTCAACCCCTGCGGCGGATGGACGCGGACTTGCTGCCTCCAATGAACGTTTTTTATTGGCTCCCGGGTGGTGATTCAACCTCCCCGCTTTGCTCGCTCGGCAACTTCACAGAACCTGGGAGGGAGGGAGGGAGGAAACTGCAGCAGCAGCAACTGGCGCTGTCCCTGACCAGCCTTTGCTCCGGCCGCGCCCCTCGGTGCGTGTGAATCGTCTCCCTGTCTCTTGGGAAGAACCGTTTCACACACTAGAGGTCAGAGCTTTCTATATTTAAGAGTTCCTGGCGCTTGCTTTGCCCCTTTTCCTCAGCCGTGCCGGAGTCTAGTCGGTGGCCACGTACCCTTCCGAAACATTGGGATGGTGTATTTGTCTCTTGAGAAACCTATATGCGGGTCAAGACGCAACAGTGAGAACAGGACACGGAACCACTGATTGGTTCAAAATTGGGAAAGGAATCCGGCAAGGCTGTATTCTGCCGCCTTGCCTATTTAACTTATATGCAGAGCACATCATGAGAAAGGCAGGGTTAGTTGAATGAAAAGTTGGAATTAAGATTGCCAGGAGAAATATCAACAACCTAAGATAGTGATGGTGAACCTTTTAGGGATTGAGTGCCCAAACTGCAACCCAAAACCCACTTATGCATCGTGTGCTGGGTGGGTGTGGCCCATTGGCTGGGTGTGGCTGCGGTGGTAACGGTAGACTGGGTGGGACTAAAAAGTTCAATCAATCAATTCTAACTTTGCAAGATCTTTTTTTTCCCGTGAGAAGTTGAAATTGACTGATTGAATTTTTTTTTTTTGCACATGGCGGCGGAGGCGGCCTAAAGCGAAAAGGTTTTATAAAACCCAGCTGAAGACCTAGGACTGGGGTGACGGTGTGTGTGCCCACAGAGAGGGCTCTGAGTGCTGCCTTTGGCACCTGTGCCATAGGTGCCACCACTGACCTAAGATATGCAGATGATACCACTCTAATGGCAGAAAGTGAAGAGGAATTAAAGAGCCTCTTGATGCGGGTGAAGAAGGAGAGTGCAAAAGTTTGCTTGAAACTCAACATTAAGAAAACCAAAATCATGGCATCCGGCCCCCTCAATTCCTGGCAAATAGATGAGGAAGAAATGGAGGTAGTGACAGATTTTATCTTCTTGGGCTCCAAGATCACCACAGATGGGGATTGCAGCCAAGAAATTAAAAGACGCTTGTTCCTGGGGAGGAAAGCTATGGCAAATCTAGACAGCACACTAAAAAGCAGAGACATCACCCTGCCAACAAAAGTACGTATAGTCAAGGCCATGGTTTTCCCAGTGGTAATGTATGGCTGTGTTCGGCTAAGCGCAAAAGGCTGAGCGCAAAAGAATTGAGGCCTTTGAACTATGGTGCTAGAGAAGTCTCCTGCGAGTCCCCTGGACTGCAAGGCGATCAAACTGGTCAGTCCTAGAGGAGATCAACCCTGACTGCTCTTTAGAAGGCCAGATCCTGAAGTTGAAACTCAAGTACTTTGGCCACCTAATGAGAAGGAGAAGAAGAGCCTAATGCTGGGAAAGATTGAGGGCAATAGAAGAGAATGAGGTGGCTGGATGGGGTCACTGAAGCAGTAGGCGTGAGCTTAAATGGACTCCAGAAGATGGTAGAGGACAGGAAGGCCTGGAGGAACGTCCATGGGGTCGCGATGGGTCAGACACGACTTCACAACAACAAATTCAATAGTCTAAATTAGAGGCAGTCTGGTGTAATGGTTAAAGGCGCTGGGGAGACCCGAGTTCTAGGGCTCCCTAGAACCATGCTGGGTCAGGAATTCTGGGAGTTGAAGTCCATGAGTCATAAAAGCCAAGGTTGCCTACCCCTGCCCTAGTGATAAAGCGTGGATAAAAACATTACAGATTTTTAAGGGACCTTTTCTCCTCTTTTGTTTGTTTCCATGACCACTGTACTTTGCATTAAACTTTGAAGGATATTGTTAGTTTTAGGTCATTTAATTGGTTATTTTTTTATTGGTCCTAGAAACCTATTTTTGTTTTCCTAGAAACCATATTCCAAATGTCTAAATTTGCTTTCCTGTGCAATGTGCAGTATGCTCCTTCTTAAATTTGATTAAACTTTTATAATACAGATATATCAGTTTCCTATGTTGTGACAAATTGTACATGTCAGCGTGTATCTTAATACATTGTATTTTTTTATTTATATTTTCTGGAATTATATCTGAAAGAAAGATTAATGATTTCAGTTCAAATTTTACGTTTAGAATTTTCTGAATATTTTGTTCTATTTCTTCTCAGTATTTTGAAGGTTTTCTTTTAACATGACCATCATATATGATAAAATGTTCCTTTGTTGTGGCATTTCCAACATATATTATTATATGGTTTGTCTGCATTGGTAATTATTGATGGAGTTATATGTATATAACCTGTAAAACATTTTATACCAATTCTCCCTTAAATTTTATTGTTTCCCCCCCCCCCCACATTTCTTCCCATTATTGTACTGTGATTGCTTCTTTGTTGTTTTAAACCTGCTAGCTGAAACAAAAAACTACATGTGTGGTAGATGTAGCAACCAACCAGATGCCTCCAATCCCCCCCCCCGTGGTAAGGGTTGCTTCCAGTGGATTGAGAAATGGAGAAGGTGCCCAAGAAGTTTGTACTTTATAA